AAGAAAGAGACACAGAGGTAGAGACAGGCAGAAATAGAGTCTGGGAGATAATGGAGCAGTTGGTGGGGAAGAGATGCAGGATGACTCTAGATTGCTATGTTACCACAGTGCCTGTGGTCTGGAAAGAAGTTAGGGATCGAGGTATGGGTTTAATCAGACCTCATTTCTAACCTATGGCCAGGACTGAGTACTTCCTCCTGAAGACCAAAATACAGAACAGAGAGTTCAGGGCAATAAAACTGCGTGTACTATTTCTCTTTTTAAAATATTGGGAGACGGGGCTGGGAAGGTGGCTCAGTGGTAGAGCGCTTGCCTTGCATGCCTGAGGCCCTGGGTTCGATTCCTCAGCACCACATAAGCAAAAAGAAAAAAGCTGGAAGTGGCGCTGTGGCTCAAGTGGTAGAGCGCTAGCCTTGAACTGAAGAGCTGAGGGACAGCGCCCAGGCCCAGAGTTCAGGCCCCATGACCAGATCCCCCAAAAGAATAAAATAAAATATTGGGAGAAAATGAGGGAGGGGGTAACACTTTTCAAAAATAAATGTACTCATTACTTACATAACTGTCACCCCTCTGCACACCACTTTACAATAAAATTTAAATTTAAAAAAATAATAAAGAAATTCGGGGGTAGGGGGAGATGGGAAGGGATGGGAAGGGGAAACAAAGGAGGAGGCAACAATGCTTGGTAAGAAATGTACTCATTATCTTGCCCATGTAATTGTAACCCCTCTATATGGTATTTTCACAATAAAATTAAAATTAAAAATAATAATAAAGAAATGAAATTAAAGATTTTGTCCATGATGCCCCTTGGGAGGGCTTGGGGTAGCCTTGTCTCTCTGTGTGTTTATTCTTTTTCATTACAGCAACAGATGACCACAAATTCAGTGCCCTCCCCCCAAAGCCCACAGATTTGCTCTCCTAGGGTGCTAGTGGGTAGGGATTGACCATTCTTCCTTCCGGAGGCTTCTGAGGGAGTCTAGTCCCTTACCATTTTTAGCTCTGAGAGAGCAGGAGTGTAATTTACCGAGGCCCCTTTGGACATTAGTCAGTGTCTTGCTTCTGTCACCACATCTCTGGCTGCCAGCTCTTTATATCACAGGGGAGCACGGGGTCGGGTCCTGGAGATGGACGTCTTTCAGCCTTCCTCCATCATCACTGATACCTGAGGTTCAAATGTTCCAAGCGTGTGTCCTGCAGTGCTTTCAGAAGGGTCGTGGTGGGATTTCTCGTGATCCCTTGCTTACAGGCAGCAGTGGCCATACTTGACAGTGAGAATAAACGTGAGCAGTTTCCTAAAGGACTCTAAGAACTGCCAAGTCGGTTCTCATCGCTCATTCCTCATCCGGCATGTTGTTTCGCTATATAAAATTTTATGAGACAATTAAGAAATCTGCAATGAGCAAGTCTATTCTCTGGTGATAGTAGGGGGAAAAATGGTCTCTAGAGTGAGAGAATCCAGGGATGATCTTGGGGTGAAGTGTTGAACATATACCCCATGAACCAAAAAGCTCTATGCCCTCTCTCCACCTGCCTCCCAGAGTTGTGATGGGAGAATCATGTCCTTAAAAATATTTTTTAATTATCTTTAAGTGCCAAGTCATTGCCATTCCACAAAGCAATTTATGAATACGATGTGTCTTGATCCATGTTACCCTTTTCAACATTCTCACCCAACCTTCCCAAGCCACCCCTTCCTTCACATAAAAAAAAATGTATAGGGTATTTATTGAATTTTTCCTTGCATCATGCCTCTTCTTTTCATTTGTTACCCCCTCCAACTCACCTCACCCCTTTTAAATACCCATTTTCTGGAATTTATTTAGTTGAATCATGACTTTGCCTTTCTAAGGAATTACAGTTTGAGTTCTCCCACAAATCCACTGTATTTCAATTAATACATGTATGTGCATTTGCATACTACCCAAGTTACTTATATATTTATAAACCAATTCTAGCTTCCACACATGAGAAAAGTGTACAACCTCTGTCTATCTGGGCTGGACTTACTTCACTTAACAATTTTTTTCCCCAGGAGCTTCCATTTCTTAGTAAATGATGTGTTATCTTCTTTTTCTAAAGGATAAATAAAATTCCATTGTGTATATGTACCAAAAAAGAAAAAAGAAAGAAATCTACAGTGAGCGTAGGTATGCTAATACAAAAATGGCTTCAAGAAATCACATGGATCGAAACAAAGCAAGGTATAAAATGGAGCGTGCATTGTGAAATCATTGGTGTAAATTCTGTGCTGAGCTATGGGAAGCAGTACTCTAGATGCTTAGTCAGTACTTAGGTCACTGCTAATATGAACAACAGGTAAATTGTTTATTTAAAAATATGTATTTTTATGAACATGCCATTGGTTAATTATGCTCATGGGTATACATGACAAGTAGCAATACAAAACTCAATTGATGACATTGTACAGGAGGTTGTAGAGTAATTCACTGAATTTTAGGTGATTTGAAAATTATTTAATGATTACTAGAGCTTTTCATACAACTAGCAGATGGTTTGTCCGTTCAGAACATGCTATTCAGTTGCCATCATTTTTCAATTGGCATATAGTAATTGTAGATATCTATGGAGCACAGTGTGATAGTCTAATATGTATATGTATTTCATGGGAGAATATTATTCTATTGTGTGTGTACACCTGCAACCATTCACCCAACAATGGACCCTTTGGTCGATTCTGTATTTTGGCTATTGTAGACAGGGCCGCAACATACATGGGAATGTAGGTGTCTCTTTGACAATCGGGTTTCAATTCCTTTGCATGCATGACCAGTAATGAAGTTGCTCTATCATAAGATAGATCTATGTTTAGATTTTCAGTAATCGCTATACTTTTTTTTCTCTAGTGGCTATAGAAAAAAAGTGGACTTAAATGGCAGCATGTAACAATCACTATGTCTTATAGAGTGCAGAAAGAGGCTTAAATTGACAGATGTTGTTAAAGGAGACTTCTTAATCTATGGTGTTTGAGTCTTTTTTATGGTACCAGTTCTAGAGCTTGAACTCAGAGCCTGGATGCTGTCTCCTGAGCTTTTTTGCTCAAGACTAGAGCTCTACCACTTGAGCCATGGCTCCACTTTTGGCTTTTTGGTGGTTAATTGGAGATAAGGGTCTGCTGACTTTCCTACTAAGGCTGACTTCAAACCACGATCCTCAGATCTCAGCCTCTTGAGTGGCTAGGATGACAGGTATGAGCTGCCAGCAGCTGGCTTTGAAATTCAACTTGTTAAAACTGCTCTACACAAAGCCTGGACTATCATAAGCATCAATAAGTGTTCCCTGCCTTCCTCTGACACCAAATGTCCATATTACCTATCAGGTGAACTTGCGCTTTATTCATTCACCGATTAAACCAATGCTCTGTCTCTGCTTCAGGTAAAAACAAGAGGAGTGTGGACAAAGACGTTAACTCAGGAAGAAAGTGTGTAAACAAGAAAGCTCAAGTCTTTGATATGCTGCTAGATGGAGTAAAGGGTTCTACAGGAACACATCGCTGCAACACTTCAGCTAGCCTGGATAGAAGAAGGCTTCAGAAAAGCATCGCTTGTCTGCAGCACAGACCCGCCCCTGTACATCCTGGCCAGGAACCTCTGTGGTGAATGAAACTCTCAAACAACATGGATTGCAAGATGATATATGGTCGGCTGTCATCATTCTCTACACTTTTATGCACATGTTTATTCAAGCCACAGGATTTCAGACATGTTGGCCCTTTGCTCAAGAAGTATCTTTTAAAATAGAAACAATGGCAATTTAGCTTCCACATTCAATCCACTGCAAACTAAATGGCTTCATTATTCTGTCTCCAACTGTGTCATTCTGAGAGAATGTATGGACACGGAGAAGGGAACTCAAAATCATAGGAAAACCTGAGGTCAAAATGCAGGGGAACAATAGGATGTAAGCCCTAAAATCATGAAGTACAAGTCAACTTAGGACGAGAATGACTCAAATAGCCATACAAGGCCAAGAACGAGAAACTTGACCAAGAGGAGGCAAATATGAAATCAAAACTTCCGGGGGCAAGTTTATCTTCCTTGACCCCATTCCTAAACTAAGTGGTCACATCTTGTCACTAGGCGATTTTCCTCATGAAAACTGTCTTTGTTGCTTAAAAGCCTTGGTCTCACTTGCTCTCATTTCTGCTTTTGGCTAGCTGTGACACGCTTTGAACCCCTCTGGGTTCAGCTCTTAATGTCAGATCCCAATAGAATGGATGATCCCACAGATGTGGCTCTTGAGCCTTTTCCAATACAGTTTACAGATACCATGTTGTGCTTCTGCCTCTGAGTAACCATTGCTGAATTCATCTGAGTGGGGACTATAAGGACTCTAATCCAGACCAAGCATTCTTAGTCACTAACAACACTTGGCAATGTAGGTCACAGAAATGGTGTCCCAGGTAGGAAGTGGACTGGAAAGAGCTGTGCTGAATCCTAAAGGGTTCTTCAATGAGTAAGGTAGTTCCGGGACCATGTTTCACATGATCTTAACACGTGGTAACTTGGACCCAGCACCCAGTGCACTACTACTAAGGAGTACTGTGAATAAGCGTTATTTACTTTCCAATGCAGGGGCTGGGAATGTGGCTCAATGGTAGAGTGCTTGCCCAGCAAGTATGAAGCCTTGGGTACGATTCATCAGCACCATGTATACAGAAAAAGCCAGAAGTAGTGCTGTGGCTCACATGGTAGAGTGCTAGCCTTGAGCAAAAAGAAGCTCAGGAACAGTGCCCAGGCCCTGAGTTCAAGCCCCAGGACTGGCAAAACAGCAACAAAAGCAAAAAACAAAAACCAATCAGTTCAGGCCAAGAAAAGCAAAACGAAGAAAGTCAATCCCAGGTAAGCCTAATGAAAATGTGGTCTAGGGAATCCTATTTGAAATAACTTCTTCAATTTATTACTCAGATTATCCAAGCCCCTTGTTGTATACACTGAAGAAAATGGTAAGGTTTTGAGTTTTCTTTTTAATTTAAGGGACTATAAGACACAGAGAAGACACCGTTTCTTGTTTTCCTTGAGTTTTTTCAGCGCATCTTGGATATCCTTGTTTCTCAGACTGTAGATGACGGGGTTCAGCATGGGAATCACAGCTCCGTAGAACAGGGACACGACCTTATCTTTGTCTCTTGAATAGCCAGGACCTGAATGGAGGTAGGAAAAGAGACCAGAGCCGTAGAAGAGAATCACTGTGCTGAGATGAGAGACACACGTGTTGAAAGCCTTCATCCGTCCATGGGTGGAATGTATCTTCATGACAGCCATGATGATGTAGGCGTAGGAAATCAAGACCACAAGAGCCGACGTCCCCCCAACTGCACACACAACGAGGAAGTTTACCACCTGGCTGAGGAAGGGACTGGAACAAGACAAGTCCAGCAAAGATGGCAGGTCACAGAAAAAGTGGTGAAGGATTCGTGGCCTGCAGAAATGGAGCTGGAATATGGAGGTGGTTTGGACCAAGCCGGTGAGGAATCCTCCTGCGTAGGCTGCTGTGGCCAGCTCCAGACAGATGGTAGGAGACATGATTGTTGGGTAGAGTAATGGGTTAGAGATGGCAGCATAGCGGTCGTAAGCCATGGCTGCCAGGAGACAGCACTCGGTGCCTCCCATCCCAATGAAGAAGAAGCACTGAGCAGCACAGCCCACGAAGGAGATGGCCTTCTGCTTCCGGAAGAAGTCACAGAGCATCTTCGGGGCTATGGAGGAGGTGTAAATGATGTCCACCAAGGACAAGTTACCAAGGAAGAAATACATGGGGGAGTGGAGGTGCGAGTCTATCCCGATGAGGGCCATGAGACTCAGGTTTCCTGCCAGAGTCACCAGGTAGATTCCCAGAAACAACAGGAAGAGGACGACTCGGAGCTGTGGGTAAGCTGAAAATCCCAAAAGGATGAAATTGCTCAACATGCTGATGTTCATGCTCATGGCTGTGTGTCTACTCTCTGTCATCTTCAGAGCCCAGGATGGAAATTCCTGGAGCAATGAAAATCCAGGAGAAGAAATCATTTTTTTCCCTCTTACCATGGACCTGCCAAACCCCACAATCAGAAGACATAACATGAAACAAATGTCCTCTCTCTAGTGAAGATTTCCCCTCTGCAGGGTGAAATGAGTTTTTCCTAGCGGTCACTGTCACCCTAATCTGATGCATTTGTTTGTGCAGCAGTACAGAATCAAAAGACTGTTGGACTTTTTTTATTGTAAAAATACTGTACAGAGGAGTTACAATTACATGGGCAAGATAATGAGTACATTTCTTATCCAGATTGTCACCTTTATCACCTTCAGTATCAATATCTCTATATTAATGAAGGAATTAATGCATCTCGGGCTAAATATCTCTTTCAATTATTCCAAACATGGCAACTACACTGTTTGCCATTCATATTTAGATTCTATTTTTTATTTCAAAACTCAAAATGCCTGGAAGGGAAATTTGGCATTTATTTGCTTCATAGTTTGTTATAACCAGATTTCATGAGTCAAAGTATTCTCTCTCTTTCTCTTTCCCCTCTTCCTTTCTCTTCTCTCTCTCTTTCCTTCTCTCTTTCTCTCCCTCCCTCCTTCCTTCCTTTCTTCCTCTCTTCTTCTGTAGCAATGGAATAAAACACACAATGCTGGGAAAAACTTGAATTCACACCAAGTGTGAAATGTAGGCTATCTTCCTACAGAAATATTAGACATCTTGCACCATGCATTTGATAGAACAGGATAGAGATGAAAATTAATAACTTATCTAGTTTCTAACACTCAACATAAGTTTATAGTACCCCAAAGAGTTAGCTATTAGCACTGCACAAAAATGCTGTAAGAGAAACGCTTACATATTCCACACTGCCTGGGAGCCTGGCCATAGCAAGTGGTATTTCCAAAAAGGTTGGTTTGAGAAGGATTGCAAAGGTGAGTAAGGATTGATCAGGATGGAAATTCACTGTGTGAGAGGCCTGAGAAGTAGCCAGTTAACAAATCTCGATATAACCCAGGGATAATGCACTTGCAAAACACAGCATATGTTGTTTTTAGTGTACTATGTGAATATTTTTTGTTTCTTTTGTATGTTCTTCCCCCATGGTATAACCCCTGTTGTCACTGTATTTGGTTCTGGTGTCCTGCATCTTGTATATACATTTTTCTAATTTGGGGAGGGAAAGGGAAAAAACAAAATGCTGAAATAAGGATACAGGATGACCCATTGTAACAATGAGATTTACAAGACACTATGTTGAAAAAGAACTTTAAAACTTTTGTGGGGGGAGGGGGAGAGAGGAGTTGTGTAGGTGGAGAGGGAAGGGATGGTTGGGGAAAAACAAAGGAGGGGGTAATAATGTTCCATAGGGAATGTATTCATTACCTTACTCATGTAACTGTAACCCCTCTGTACAGAATCTTTACAATAAAAGATATATTTAAAAAAAACTTGAGTAATAATGGGTCAATCAAAGACTGAGTTCAGTGGGTCTTATAAAAACAATGAAAATAGGGAATAAAAAAACACAGTAGTGTTGAAGGAATATGAAAAAAAAATACCAGCCTGATCACAGCATATGGTGAGACCAGGATTAGAAGATACAGAAAATGAGGTTTGGAAATCAGTGAAGGGTAGATAATTTGAGAGATCTTTGGAAGCAAACTGGCAAAGATGATTGTTGGTTACACACACACACACACACACACACACACACATGCATATAACTGTATAAAGTCTATACCACTACATACATACATACTCATGTTTAATTTCAAACTTCTTTCCACTACTGGACTTATGTCCTTTTCATGCTGCTCTGATTTTTTAATAGTATTTATGATCTTAATAGCATGGCTATTATCAATATATTAGTTGATAATATATTGATCCACTAGATCATAAACCTAACAGAGACTGGTATTTTGATATACTGATATTTTGATATACCTTCTTTCCTTTCCTTCCTTCCTTCCTTCCTTCCCTCCATATCTCCCCTCCATCCCTCCCTTCTCTCACTCCCTTGGTGGTGTTTTTTGTGAGACAGGGACTCACCTGCCACCTCACAATCCACCTGCCTTACACTCCAAAGTGCTCAGTTTGTAGGCATGTGCCTCTATGCACAGAGACCCTTTGTTTGTGTACATTACAATGATCAAAGGTAGAGTGTTAACAAAATCGTCATGATTCTTTTCTATTCCATCACCAAGAGGTCACAACTTCTACTTTATAATATGTTTAGAGTATAGTAAATAATAACTACCAATTATTTATATAAATTCTACATAAGCAGTCTTCTTAGGTTGACTTAGGTTTCTTCAGATGGAGCAAAAATATAGAAACAGATTGTGTGAGACACTCTCTACCTCATAATAGTAATTACACACACACACACACACACACACACACACACACACACACGTTCATGATATGAGAACCATCATCACTTTTTTACGGCTTTTTTGAGCTTATATAGTATCTTTACATCCACCCTCTTTTTATGATCATCCAAAGCAAGATTTTGACATTAGACTGAGAGAAATAGGCTGTAGTCCTTAAGTGGTAATTCGGTAGCTATGTGGCCTTTCATAAGCGGATATATGATTCCTAAGTCTCTTTTTGTGATTTCCCTAAACTGTATAATGGGGGCAATGGTAGAATGACTCCAGGGTGCTTTACCAGGATTTGAACTGAAGGCTTATTCTTCCAATCCAGAATATGCTTCCTATTGCCCTGCTACCTAGTCAAGGTGCATAAGCTTGTACATAATGCAAATGGCCATATTGCCACCTGCCCTTCACATACAGCATTGCCAATCTTCATAGCAACATTTGGCTTATTCTATAGCCGGATGCTTGGTATTCATTTTTGTCTGTTTACTTCTTCTCTGACTCCTCCATTTTAAGCCCTGGAAAGGCATTCTGACCCCAGTGTTTGCACAATGAATGATGGCACATCATTCACACATTGCTCCATTTTTAAAAAATCACTCTATTTTAAAAAATCGCTCCATTTTACAATCCAAGAGCAGCTCTGATAGACAAGCAGCGTACTGAAGTTATGAAAAAAAATTAGGCAGTTCCTAAGTGACTGAGCCAGAGTTTAAACTTCCAAGACCTCGAGTCAAGAGCCCATTCTCTTCCCTAATGGCTATAAAATAATTTGGCCATGACTCTGGACAATTGATAAAAGACTATATTATAGGCATAACTGCCACATGATCATTCTCCCTTCCCAGTTGACTGGACAAGACTAGCTCCACAGAACTCAAACGCTGAGAGTGATTATACAAAGTTTTCTTGCTCTTGCCTTGGTGGCACTACCTTCACAAGAGTTAAGCTAGACACCATGGCAAAAACTAGTGACGCTCTCATGCAGTGATTCCCAAGCAAGTGGTGCATTTGTCATGCATATGATTTGTAGTTGGGGCCCAGATGATTTTGGAGAGTTTGAAGCAAATATAAAAAGCTGACATAAAGAGCTGGGAAGGTGGCTCAGTGGCAGAGTGCTTGCCTCGCATGCATGAGGCCCTGGGTTTGATTCCTCAGCACCACATAAGCAGAAAAAAGCCAGAAGTGGCACTGTGGCTCAAGTGGTAGGGAGCTAGCCTTGAGCTGAAGAGCTGAGGACAATGCCCAGGCCCAGAGTTCAGGCCCCACAACTGACCAAAAAAAAGCTGACATAAAGAATGTGTTGCCTACAGTGATCGTTTTTTATCCCTATCTATCTGAGTGTCTGGCACATTATGGATAGCCAAATGATTATTGAAAGGTTATTAAGTAATGACTACATAACCATTGTAAACCTGTGCTAATCCCAAGATGACTGATTTTAATTACTGTGTGAATGTTCAAAAAATTTCTGAGAACATGCATACGATTGTAAAATAATGGAATATTTAGAAACCAGCTATCCCAGACTTTCCTATTAGAGATAATCGAACTAAAAATCCAACGAGCTGAAAGGAATGTCCATATAGTTCATCAGAATTAGAAAACAAAACTTCTCTATATATCTTTAGAAGGTTTTCTTTTCATCACACCTTATTCTAAAAGCTAAATAAAGAGGATCCACAGACGTTAGATCATTTTTATTGCAGACTCGCTCTGACGATCACACATCAATTGCTCACAATAGCATAAAAAGCACTGGCTTGAAAATTTAAAAAAAATTAACTCAGCCGGCACCAGTAGCTCACACCTGTAATCAGTCCTAACTAGTCAGGAGGTTGAGATCTGAGGATACCAATTCAAGCTAGGCCAAGCAGAATAGTATGTAAGACTCTTGTCTCCAAGAAACCACCAGAAAGCCAGAAGTGAGGGTATGGCTTAAGTAGTAGAGCACTAGCCTTGAGCAAAAAGCTCAGGGACAGCACCCAGAGCCTGAGTTCAAGCCCCAGGACCAGCACACACATATACACACACCAAAAAATGTTGACTCGAGTCCTGTTTCTCCTCCATGATCTTTGGAAATATGTTTGCTTCTATGAATCATAATCTTCTCATTCTCTGCAGATACAACAAACTGATTAGCTTAGGTCAGTGCTTTCTACTGCATTTCTCTCCCAAGCTATATCTATTTATAAATCACTTTTTAAAAGTTCAAAGAAACAAGTGTATCCCCAAATTCTAGAATACAAAATAGGTAAAGCCCAGCTCCTCTCCTTAAGGTCTAAGCATTTTGCCTGCTCTCCCTTTCCTATCAATACTTTTTTACTTTCCTATCCAGAATTTCTAAGGTTCACTAGTACCCAATCGAAGGAAGGGACAAGAGTAGACTCACCTCTAGCACCATACACTCAAAGATTAAGGAAAATGGCTAGGATCAGATACTTGAAGAAGTAACAAAGTCAACCTCTGCTAACACCTTGATCGAAGAAAGAAAGCAATGTTTGAACGTGGTTATGTGAAATTCGCCACCAAGGAAATGACTTTGTCGGGGT